CGAAACTGTCAACAGAAGATTGCAAATATTCAGGTGAAGTAGAGTAAAGCAAAGAAAGTCTGCCTTCAACTAATGAAGCAACATCACGGCTAATTACAAGATGTCGAATAAGATCCATTAATTTACAATCGGACAGATCATTAGGATTAAAATTACGAAAAAGTAATCGTTGACTAGGTGCATATATAACTCCAAGCGCCTCTGCAATATCTTCTTGGAATAAACCTGAGCCTTGGCCGCAAAGATAACGATGTCGCACGGCACTAAATGAGAGTAAAATATTAAAATAAAAATCTCAACTAAAAAATCCAGAGTAAATTTACCTAAAACCACAAATACATTTTTGTAATTCAACTGGAGGAATACGAAAACCGCTCCAATGTTTTGATAAAAGTGCTTGTGGATGTTGCTGTCTCTGCCTTTGTTGAAGATAATCGCAAAATTTTAACATCTCTTTAGGACCAGTTATATAGAATCCAAGTTCAAATGAACGAATATTTGAATTACAACAACAAAGAGGGCAGGCATCGAATACAATATCATAATGAAGATCAGCAATTGTGTCCTAAAAGAATAATTTAAAATTAAAAAAAATCGTATTCTCACTTGTATAAGCAGCGTGAAAAGTGAAGAATTACATAAATTTATATTGAGCAAAAAATCTCGAAACTTGTTGCCAATAGTCGTAGAGGAAATGAAATCTAAAAAAGGAAGTTAACCAATATACGAGGATTTTCAAGTTTTAGAAAAATAAAAATTTAATAGAAGCGCCAACCTAAACAATGCGTCATAGCTGGTTGGTGGTTTACAGTTTGAGCTGCCGAAGTAGACGTAGTGAGAGATGGAGAAACGAGTTGTGTGGAAATTTGGGAATTGTTAGTAAATGAAATCTGGCGAGAAAGCTAAATTATTTATTAAAATAAAATATAAATTTTATCCATTTACCATTTGTTGTTGTGAAGTTTCAGCAACTGACTGGTGATAGAAAGGAGTCACTGGTGAAATTCCATCAACTAACTGCTCATTATGCGAGAGTATCGGTTGTACACTCCCTTGAAATATTGGAAATGATGGTCCAAAATTTCTAATTCCCTGAGGATGCAAAGAGGGAATAATTGGAAGAGGAGGCCCTTGTGGTAGATTGTCTAAAGAAAATAATAATTTTTTAAATATTTTAAGACCAACCGTGCCAATTGCCACCCGGCCACTGAGGAACGAACTCTGAGGAATTATTCCCGATTAAAATTCGAAAACGAGCTTGTTCTTCCAATTGCAAACGATATTCTAATTGAGAATCAGCCTTTGTACGTCTTTGAGCCAAGGCATGAAGTTGTATAGCCGTTAGAGTCCCGACACCTGTGGACATCTTGAGTATGAAGTTAGGAGTGATTTTTTCAATGCTCTCACTTTCACAACAATCACGTTTCAATAGACGATTATGATGATTCTAAAATCATTAGATAGTTAAACAAGAGGGAAAAATAAAAACCTGATTTTCTAAAGCATTTAAAATACTTGAACACTCAACACAACTAACATCATTCAACCTATCATCTAGATTATTTTCGCCAACTGACAACATATTTTTACAAAAATGTCTAGCATGCGATTTATGATGACCTGACAATTCGTAAATAGGTTGTTCCCAAGGTAAATTATGCAATTGCTCAGCAAAGTAACCAAGCACAGAAACAATTGCCTGTTCTGAATTGGCGTGAGATTGCGAGAGTGATTGAAATTGATGTGGAAGGTGATGATGAGAAAATAAAAGAATATTTTGGGGTGAAAATTGTTGTGCCGGAGTTGGTGGTGTAGGATAAATTTTGCTCATGGACTCTTGCAAGATAGCGTTTGCTGCTGCAGCGGCCATAGTCGAATACTAAAATGAAACTAAAAAAGAACGATCAATTAAAAATTACCGTTGGCTGATTTATACAAGTTGTAGTAAAGTTTGAAGTTGTTGGAATACCTCCATGAAATATTTGTGATGCTGGGATTCCTCCAGAATTCACAGAATCAACTTGTTCATTCGAAGCAGGTGGTGAAAGCATTGTATTCTGGGGAGTGTGTTGTTGTTGTTGATGTAATAGAGTCTGTAGGGTGTTGCAAGTCGTAGATGGAGGACTATAAAGATCTGGCGAAGAGTGACCACAAGCACGAACTTCTTCCTAAACACTAAATAGTTTAGAAAAAATATATCTAACATACCCCAAAATTCATTTCATGTAAAGAAATATTCATCATTAGTCCCTGCTGATCTTTTATCTCTTGATCGACCATTTGTTGTTGTTGACCAACCAATAACGATGCATCAGAGTCCAATAGTGCAGGAGGAGTGACTGCGTATTCATCCATATGCTCATCGATAATATGATTTGTTGTTGTAATTTGTTGTTGTGTCAGTGTTGTTAATCCTTCTGTTATGTTAGCTGTCCTAATTGTTGCCATTACAGAGTTTTGATGTTGATTGTGAGACATATCATGTGGTTGTGCTTCGGTCAAACATCCATCTCGTTGTTGAGGATCCATTCCTTCTGCACTGGGACTTAATAACAATTTCATCAACATACTTTGTGGCTGCCTAGAAGAAACAAAAGATTGATGGGCAGCATAAGGTTGAAGTTGTGATAATTGTTCGGAATTTGAATGATTGACTTCAGAATTGAGCATTGGAAGTAAGGAATAAGGATCATCGGAAAATACATTTGATTCCTAAAAATTAAATGAATTTTTGAAAACATGTACTAAACAACAAACTTCTTTTGTAAATGCAATATTTAGCAACTCCAACGAAGAGAGAGTTGGCCAAGCTACTCGTTTATATTTTTTAGTACTAATACCAACACAATTCCATTTTCTTTTCCGTTTCCTCCATTTTAAATTTTGCTGAAGATTTTGATGAATTAATCTTTGCAATAATCCTAAAGGGTCTCCTTCATTTACTGGGCAAGCAACTTTTTGTTGATCAGAATCATCATCGTCATCATCGCCCAATATCATGCGTTCCAATTCTGAAGTGCAGGTATTTGGTTGTAATTGTTGATACAAAAAAGAAGAGGAAGGTCTTAAATCACAGTGGCTCTCCGAGTTAATTGTGTCATTTGAGCTACTAAAATTTTAAACGAAGAATAAATAGAATAGAATTGTAAGAAATAGAATAGTCAAGTAAAAATTTTTTGTTGAAAAGTTAAACTCCGGTTTAAGCGGACAATAAACGAGTTACATTCTCATGTTAGATTAGGTATTTTACTTTTAAAAATGTCTATAAGTTTCAGAAATTACCATGCATGCGTGCTTTGGTTGATAATTTGATCAGTCAACAAAGCTTTACTCCTGCTAATAGTAGAAAAACTTCTTTCGTCAGTCATGTTTAAGAGATCCCAATGTCCCTTATTTTGAAAAGATATCTTATTGACATATTCTTTAGACGAATCTGGAGAATTATCAAGACTATCCATCCAACGTGAGTGGGACGGGGTAGAGGTTGACGTAATCATAGCTGATGAGCCTCGACTACTATTTATACACTTCGGTCTAAAAATAAGCACAAAATATGTAATTAAATATTAAAGTAAACTTTACCTTGAATTACGAGTTCGGTGAGAAAGATTATTTTTTGAAGAAAAATTAGACATTTGCTGCCTTACATTTAAACAATCGTCATTAGATTGACTTCCTTCATCAGAAACGATGCGGTGAAAGGATACCTTGGGTTGTTGGTGATGATTATTAGAAATAAGGGAATTTAAAGTTGTTTGGCACGTTTGTGATTCTAAAATTATAAAAAAAATTATATCGTGAAATAAAAATTTAACCTTTTTGTGATTCAGTAAGAGAAGATTGACCTGATGAGAAAGAACGTCCGAGCTGTGGACATATCCGGCAATAGCAAAATTCACGACGCATGTAATCGTAACCAAACTCTGCCATACAATCGGACGCTCTTTGTTGTTGCAAGTCACAATTGAATGGATCTGAATGTTCCGCCGCACTAACCCTATTTTTTGGATTGCGCAAACATCCTAAACCATAAGAGGCTTTTGCAGCAGAAAGGCCAGTATGAATATGCCTTCGTATTTTTGAAGTTTGAAAATCTAAAATTCAAATTATTCTTTTAAAAAATTTAAATTAACCAGATTTTCTAGAAGAAAAAGATTTAGATGATTTCTCAGATTGATCAGGAATATTGTCCACTAAAATATCACTGCACGTAGCCTCATCTGTTTTTGAAATACTTTTTGTTGTTTTAGATGGCAAAGGGCAAATCAATTCATCAACCAAAATTCCAACAAAAGCACTGGGGTATAAAACGAATTGCCCACCCAACTGAATTACAACCATTCGAGGAATTGATGAAAGTGAATTACTCCTTTATTAATTAAGTAAAGTTTATTTTATATATTTTTCAGATACCTAGAAGAAGAAATAACACCACTACTTGTTCTCCTTTTATTATTAGCAGCATTAGTTGATTTATTTCCATTAGAATTTGTTGTTAACAATTCCAACGATGGATAAATTCGTTTCCATTCCTTCCAATGGGATTCAACAAGTTGACTCAATCGTCTCTTTGGATAAGTTCCACCACCATCATTTTTTTCAGGAGAAAGGGTTGAGGAAAGAAATGAAGGACCTTAAACCATAAATAAAAGATTTAAAAGTAAAAAGTAAACCTTCCTCATTGTCTGGACTTGGAATAACAGGAGTTTTCCCTGTGTCGAAATCACCCAAGAATTCCTGTTGATTTGGCAATAATTGAGCGCGTATTGACCAAGGAGCTATTAAAAAATAATATTTTAACAAAACAATTATTTACCCAAAATGACAGGCTGTGCAAATTGTGTTGCTTCTTTGAAATGGCACTGAGAAAGGCGAAGGATTGCTGGTTGTCTTTGGACAACAATGCTGGCACAGACAAGAGAATCACGATGTAGAAAATAATGAAAACGGATGGCATTCATGAATCTTTTTAAAAATTAAAAAAATAAATACATGAAAAATTACTTGGGTATTGTGTGTTTATCTTCAGCATATAAAGAGCTCAATTCTAAAGGTCTGCAAAGCCAACGCCCAAAACGAACAAACCCCTAAATATTAAAAAAATTTTTTATAAATTACTACGCATATTAACCTCCGATAAAAGTCTCCGCTCTATTGCACTATTTAATGATTTGAAAAATAGTGTCCGTGTTTCGTACTCAAACTCAACACGAGGAGCATCAGCATCTGTCGACTCACTGTGAGTGACAACTAAAAATAATTACAATTATTTGTTAAAAACATTTCGAAATATTAACCATTCAATCCTCGTAATTTAAAATCTTCAACCAATTTTGGCTCCTCGGACGTGTACCAAAAAATCCAAAGTTCTTTCTGGGCATCAGGACGTGGTATTGGATTATCAAATGCAGCTAATGTGCTGGCTACAGGAGGTCTAAAAATATTAATTTCCTCTTTTTCTAGCTCAAATAATTTTATATAAAAATACCTCCGTCTCCATGTGCAAAGCAAATTAGCTTCCAAACAATCAATATAGGCTCGTAAGACAGGATCAGCATTATCAGTGCCGATAACGTCAGCACTTGAAGTTAATTTTAGCTTTAGAGTTGGTGAATTGGAAGAAAAATTCGATGTAAAGCAACACCATTTTAGTCCATTGATTTCGGCCTTAAAATGCTTGTTTATGTATTTATTTATATAAATTATTGAAAATATGTTGGAAAAAATTGTAAAAAAAAATTAAATACAATTTGAAATATATTTGTAGAACAATCTTCAAGTGAGGTTGTTGGAATGCTGCTTCCTGGTGAAACTGAGCCGTTACTCATTTTCGGACGTAAATGTTACGTCTTTGAACTAGTAAAAAACATTTAATTAACATAAATAACTGTTGGAAGATCTCAACAAGTTGTTTAATTTTTTCTTTTAATGATAAAAATATAAAGAATGAAAGGACTCAAAAGCCCGATAAAAATAGAAGTTTTATTTTCCAATTTTTTAAAATTTTATAATAAAAGATTTTTATTGATTGGTAATCTGAAAATAAATATAAACAATTATTGTTTGTTTCAACAATTTTAACAAAATAAATATTATTTTTTTTGGTAGTTGAAATTAACGTGAGCTGTAAAGAGAAAATCATACATAGCCAAATTAATTGGTAGTACATTGAAAAACGCTGCGGTTTACTCAAGCCAATAGGAAATAAAAACAGTCAATGATGTAAAAAGGAAGGAGGGTGGTGTAGCAACATACACAGTATAAGTGAGAAAAGGAAGAGTTCAATGAAAGAAAAAATCGGCGACAACGGTTGCTCATTCGCACACTTTTCTTGCCCCAATAATTGTAACGCGGGTACACTATCGCTATACTACATATGCTGCGCTTGAGCTGTATTCTTCTCTTTGCAACCCTTTGAGAGTCTGAAAAGAGGAAAAAGTCGGGGCAAAATCATTATTGGTAGAAGAGATCGATTAATTGTTTTTTTATCAGATATTCATCCGCTTGTTTTGTCGTTTCATCCAAAAGTCCCTAAAGCACCACTCTATTGCAACAATAAGCATGACAAAGAGTCGGCGTGGAAATGGCCGTTTCACTTTCAATTGCTTAAAGATTCTTATTGAGTGTATATTTATTTGGTGTCCGTCGGTCGATCGTCGAATATTACTTAAAAGAGCATAGAAATGAGAGCAGATTGTGTGGAAAAGTAGAAAGACCAAGCAGGCTATATATTATGTGTTGATAGAGAAAGATGAAAGCCCACTTCATATTCTACATATCCCAACACGCATCCTTTTCTTCTACCTAAGGCAGAAGTCACCAAAAACAAACTAACACAATAATTTATTCTTCCGCTCCCACACAAACACATATTTAAGAGAAAGAATTGGAGGAATCAATCCCAACCCGTTGATAACTGAAAGCATTTTGATGCGCTGCTGGCCCCTTTACACCACAGTTACCCCAAAAATTGCCTACTACACTAAATTAAATTTCCAAACTTAAATTGCCAATAGGTTTGAGGACCGACACTTGAATAAAAAGAGAAAAAGGCTCCGGATTCCGAATGGACTTGGTTGTGTACTCGGTCAATTGAAAATATTTGAAAAGATGGCTAGAAACCCAAAAAAACAAAATCAAGAACAAGTTTTTTTTATTTTATTTATGACTTTTTATGTATATGCTTTGTTTTCAATTTTTATCTGAATGCAAGTGGTCCTTTTATACGCTTTTTAGTGAATGAATAAACTAAGAATTTTGTATTTATTGGCAAAATATAGTATTAGCAAAATGTGCGGACACGCTTTTTAGAGATTATGAGATCTCCAAATATTTACTTTTGTTCTATTCTGTTCGCAGTTAGTTTTCTTCTCGAACATGTATACTACCAGCGAGAGGACAAATTGCCCGTGGACAGATTGCCCAAATGAATTGGCTTTATAAATTATTTGACTTTGTCTGAAAAGTGTTCTTCCGTCTCTGCGTCTCTAACAATTAAAAGTGACAAAATGGTAATAAGATGAATTTGTACTTAACAAAAAGTGCAAAATAAAAATTTTATCTAATTTTACCCTAAAAATGATTTCTCGCCAAGCTTTAATGTTACGGCCATTAATTAAAAATCGAGTAAATTTATTAAATTTTTATTTTCCTTCATCATCTTCTTCTTCAAAAGATAATTTTTTAATAGTTACAGAAAAAGCAATAAATCAAGTAAATATTTTTTTTTAATTTTTTATTAAATTAAATTTAAAGCTAGGGAAAGTTTCATCGCCTGGAGAAAATTTACGAATAAGTGTAGATTCTGGTGGTTGTTTTGGTTTTGAATATAAAATGATTTTGGATAAAGAAATAAATGAAAAAGAGGATGAAATTATTAAATTTTCTAATGGGGCTAGTGTTGTTATAGATAAAGTAGGTAATTTTAAATTTAATTTAAATAAATAATTTAATAAAAATAGATTTCTCTTGAATTTATTCGTGGATCAAAATTGGATTATTCAGAAGATTTAATGAGGGCAGCTTTTCGAATAATTGTTTGTTTTTAATTTTTTTTAATTTTTTTTGTTTAATTTTTAGGATAATCCAAAGGCAACAAATGGATGTTCTTGTGGGGCTAGCTTTTCTCCAAAAGAAATTTTTAGTTAAAAATAAAATTTTTGTTTAATTTTTAAATAAATAAATTTATTTTTGATTTTATTTTTTAAAAAAAATTTAAAGAAATTTTTTTCTTCAATATTTATTTTTAAAATTTTCTTTTTATTTCTATACTAGATATGTTAATAATAAATCGTTTTGGTCTTCCATTTAATATTTATTTAAATAATCATCGGTTTCAATTAATTAGTACAAGGTAAAAAATTAAAATGTTTTTATTTTCTAAATAATTTTTTTAGAAAATTCTTAAATAATTTTGTTGTCAAAATTGCTCCACGAATTGAAAATAATTTATTTTTTTCTTCAAAATATTTGAAAAATAAAGAATATTTTGATCAAAAACAAAATTATAAAAAATTTAAAATTTGGAGAGGAATGTGGGCATTTACTTTTTTTGGTATTTTTGGATGGGAAGATTGGAAAAAATTGGACGATGATCCATTAAAGGATAAAGTAAAGTGGGCAATGTTACACAGAAAATATAAACGTTATGATAATGCTGTTGAGGTTAATATAAATTATTTTTTTAATTTAAGGGGAAAAAGGAATCTTTTTAAAAGATAGAGTTATAGTTGTAAATAGGTTGTCAAGCCAAAAGTTTAGTCACCGGATGCAGGGCCATAACCAGGATTTTTTCGGGAGGGGCCGAATTTTTGGCGCCAATTTTTTCCCTGGTTACGGCCCTGGCCGGATGGAATTAAACGTTTATTTTTTGACAGTTTATTTTGCTTGGGGACTTTAATTCTTTTTATAAAACCCCCTGTTTAAGGTGTTTTAACTCCATTTAAATCTTTTTTCCTTTACAATTTTCCATTAAAAATTAAAATTTTTAAAAGGAATTAAATAAAGCATTAAAAGAAGCACAAGAATTGGGAAATCAAAAATATATAACAAGAATATATGATGAATTAGCAAATACTTTTTATGAATCTACAGATTTTGAAAAAGCTGAAAATTTATTTAGATTAGTTATTCACAGGTTTTTTTCTTTTTTTTTAACCACAAAATATTTTTTAAAAAGATTAATAACAATTCATCAAAAAACAGAATCTTCCCCAGAATTTATTGGAATTTCTTTAAAATTAGCAGAAATTTTTGCAAAGAAAGGAGACGCTGTTTCTGCAGATATTGGATATAAACATTGTTTAAAAAAGCAAATAGAAGAATCAGATAAAGCTTTGGGAAAATTTTATATATATATAATACAAAATTAGTCGATGATAAAAATTTTTGGGGATTAATAAAGAAAAAATACAAAAATGATCTCTCAACTATTATTTTAGGGGATTTAAACTTTCCGAAAATAAATTGGCAAGAGTTTACACTTCCGAAAGAAAATCAGAATTTATATATCTACAATACCTTAAATAAGCTAAATTTAAATCAGATAATAAGAGAACCAACCATGTTTAACAATTCCCATACACTAGACCTTATCCTACAAAATAAGCAATTAATAGAAAAATACAAAATTATAGATGATTTAGTTTTGAGTGACCACAAAACGATAGTATTTGAAGTAACTTTTCCGATCGAAAAAGTAAACTCTAAAGAAAAAAGAAAAGTACTATTATTTAAGAAAGGAAAATATAAAACAATTAATTGGTATTTAGCCCAATATGATTGGTACAATATATTTAAGGACAAGAATCCCTCTGAAATTGCCGAAATACTAAATTCCATAATAACCCAAGTAATTCAAAAATTCATCCCATTAAAAAAATTGGGTGAAAAAACACCTATGAAATATCCTAAAGAAATTAGGGAAATAATCAAACAAAAAGCTTATGCTTGGAAAAAGCTAAAATTAGGGGAAATTAGTAAAGATAATTATAAGAGTCTTGAAATTAAATGTAAATTACAAATAGAAAAATATAAAAATAATTATTTATCCAAAAAAATAGGATCTGGTCATATAGGGGAAATACATAAATTAATGAAGAGAAATCGATATAAATTCTCCGGTATACCTCCACTTAACGAATCTGAGGAAGGCGATCCCATAATATTAGACACAGACAAAGCAAATAAATTTAGAAATATTTTTGAAGAAATAGTTAGCGGAGGTAAAAACAATATACAAGCAAGCTTCGAAGCCAAAGATGGATATCAGAAAGAAATCATTTTTGAACCTTATATAATAGAAAAACTACTAAAAAAACTCCCAAATAAATTATCCCATAGTCCTGAGAATATCAATCAATATTTTCTAAAAAAATGTGCTACACCCTTAGCTCTTCCTCTCTCTATTTTATATGAAAATACATTCAAAACAGGAATAGTCCCTGAATTATGGAAAACAGCTCACATTCTACCGATATTTAAAAAGAAGGGTTCAGTAAACGACCCAAAAAATTACAGACCAATCGCATTAACATCCCCGACTTGTAGAGTTTTTGAGCGCATAATAGCAAATAACATCTTAGAACACCTATATAAACATAAATTAATTGCTGAAGAGCAATTTGGATTTCTACCTAAAAGCTCTTGTACACTTCAAATTTTATCATCTATGCAAGATTGGTATAATTCACTTGATAGGAAGATAGGTACGGACGTTATATATTTTGACTTTGAGAAAGCCTTTGATAAGGTAGATCACCAAATACTTATAAGAAAATTACAAGAAATAAAAATAGATAGCTTAACAATTAGATGGATAGCAAATTTTCTCTCTAATCGATCCCATATTGTAAAAATAGATGATCATTTCTCTGAACCATTTCTGCCAAAAACAGGAGTTCCCCAAGGAACTGTATTAGGACCATTGCTGTTCCTGATATATATAAATGACCTACCCAAACATATCCCAAAAAACATAAAAGTAAAATTATATGCAGATGACTTTAAGCTCTATTCGGAAATTAATACAGAAAAAGATTGTATAGAGCTCCAAGGAGCTATAAACAATGCATATATATGGGCAAAAAATAATAGACTGGACTTCTCTATCTCAAAGGTTAATTTTAATTTTAATTTTTATTTATTCACTGAAAAGGACCTTACAAGAAGGTCACTTACATTCAGATAAAAATTGTGAAACAATTACAAAACAAAGCATATAAAAATGGTAAAAATAAGACAAAAATTAAAAAATACAAGTCACAATAATGTATAAATAATGTATAAAACAAAGAGTGTCCACAGACTGTATGGAAGTTTATGAGTTGATTACCCAAGTTGTTTAAACTGGGAGAATGTGGACGCTTGTTTGTTGAAGACATTTTTAAGAAAAATTGAAATGCACAGGTGCTTTAAATTGCAAATCTAAAAATTTGAGTTATATATATTAAAAAAAAAATAAATCCAATTGTTTCTCAATGTGTTTTAAAAATGCTTAAAAAGTAGAAAAAACTTATACATTAACGCAGTGAATGAAAATAATGAGGGAGGGAAAAACAAATGGATAAATTACTAAATTATGAAAAGGTCAAAATGTAAAATACAAAATATATATTTTTAAAAGAAAAATGTCAAACTATAAACGTCAAATGAACAGTTATGGTATGCCAACACAAACAGTCAAAATTAGTAAGGTTTTATGGATTTTTAGCTAGTAGTATACAAAACAAGTGTTTGAGCTCTCCAAATTTATTAAATATGACCTGAGCGCAATCCAAAAAATCTTTGGGTTTGGTGAGTTTATAATTGAATCAGGTATTGTATTCCAAAGGTTTACAGCTCTGTTAATGAGCCAATGTTCGGTTTTACTGTTTTTTCGGTGGACCTTAATTTGAAACTTATGTCTATTTCGACTAGGTCTATCGTTGAGCTCAAATAGATCGTTAAAACTTAAATGTGTAAATTTAAAGATAATCCTATAAATAGTTGATAGATCATATAATGAGCGTCTTAATGCTAATGATTCGAGATTGAAGAGAATTAATCTTTGAGAGTAATTTTTATAGGTGATCTTACACTTAGATAAAGCGATCCTAGTATACCATTTTTGGATTTTTTCGATTTTTTCCACAAGATACTTAGTTTTTGGACTCCAAATAACTGTGGCATATTCCAGTAATGGCCTAACGTACGATTTAAAGGCAAGAGCCCATACCTTAGGATTGCTAGTGTGTATGCTATTAAGAACTGAAGAAGCTCTGGCATAGGCTTTCCTGATGATAATATTATAGTGTAAATCGAAAGAAAGGTCGTTGGTAATGGTAATTCCAAGGTCTTTTATTACAGATGTTATTTGTAAAATGTCACCATTGAGTGTATATGTATATTTAGGATTTTTCGAGCCAATATTTAGAACAAATGTTTTTTGCGTAGATATTTCAAGTGCCCAATCGGAACTCCATTGAGAAATTATATTTAAAGCATTTTGTAGAGAATTAGTATTTTCTGAATTTTTAAATACTTGAAAAATCTTAAGATCGTCAGCAAATAAACATTTACTAACATTTTTTGGAATATAGAGGTTAAATCATTTATATATATTAAGAATAAAATGGGTCCTAAGATAGATCCTTGGGGAACACCAGAATATATTTTAAAAGATGTAGAAAATGTTGTGTTAATTTTTACTTTTGCTGTACGATCTGTTAGAAATGATGAGATCCAGTTGAGTAATTTCCCCCTAACTCCTATGTTAAATAATTTATAAATCAAGAATTTGATGGGGACGGAGTCGAAGGCATGCTTAAGATCAATATATACGCAGTCTACGTTTTTATTTTCAAGTATAGCTCTATACCAGTGAGAGAATGTAAATATTAGTTGAGTAGTTGTGGAACGCTTTTTTAAGAATCCAAATTGGCTTTCACTAATAATTTTGTTTTCTTCTAAATGGATCAGTAAACTGTTAAGTATGATGCGTTCTAGCACTCTACATATAGCCGATGTAATAGAGATGGGTCTATAGTTTGCTGCAATAGTTTTATCCCCTTTCTTAAAAACAGGTGTGATATGTGAGACTTTCCAAGATTGAGGTAGAATTCCTGAATCCAATGACAATCTAAAGATATCAGATAGGAAAGGTGTAATAG